TTTTTTTTTTCTATCGCCAGTCCCACAAAACGTCCTCGTTTGGCACACGAGGGCGAAAAAAAAAAAACGATGAATCGGTAGGGGGATGAACAACAAGTTCAACTTAAAGGCGCCGCCTCGGTAAACGTATTATACATGTATAGTCAGTGCCGAAGCAACCGAGAAGCGCTAAAAAGATCGATCACAGCCAGAGCACAAAAACCACCCCCCGACCCCTAACTTTGTCACCAAAACGGGGGAAAACAAAAAAAAAAAGAAAAAACAAAAAAAATACACAGACGAAAGGTCCCGCGGCGTCTTTAGGCGCGAGCGACGAGCCACTACATCATGTAGGGCACGCGTCTTGGCTCCGGCTCGAGGCTCGACACACTGGGCGAGGACGAGGACGCGGTCGTGGTGATGGATCCCGGACTGTGTACCGAGGGGCTCCTGCTGCTGCTCAACCGTACCTGGGATCCCGGGAACATGAAGTTCGGGTGGTGGGTCGGGCTGGAGAATAGCGAAGCCGAGCCCGGGCCGGTGAAGGGCGGGAGCGTGTGACCGGCCGTAGGACTCGAGTACAGGCTCGAGTAGAAGCTGTTGACCATGGCGGCTGCGGCTACCGCGTTGTTGTTGGCCAGATCGCTGCCGGTACCACCGCCCGCGCCACCACCCGTCCCACCCTGTCCCCCGAGGCGCTCGGCTTGGTTGGCCACGAGTTTGCCGAGGCCGATGCTGTCGAGGGCGCTCGCCCCCGGGGTGAAGTACTGGTGGTGGTGGTGGTGGCTGGCCGTGGCCGCGTAGTACGGCGAGAGGAAGTCGAAGGGCACGGGCCGGTCGTAGGGGGACGCACCGTGCCCGAGGATGACGCCTCCAGCTGGCGAGTGGTGCTGCTGGGGCTGGTGGTGGTGGTGGTGGTGTTGTTGCTGCTGCTGCTGCTGCTGGACGCGGTTCTTCTTGCGCCGGGGCCGGTACTTGTAGTCCGGGTGGTCGCGCATGTGCTCCGACCTCAATCGTTTGGCCTCGTCGATGAAGGGCTTCTTCTTGTCCTCGGTGAGTAACTTCCACTCGGCGCCCAGTCGCTTCGATATCTCGCTGTTGTGCATCTTGGGGTTCTCCTGGGACATCTTTCGCCGCTGGATGCGCGACCATACCATGAACGCGTTCATCGGCCGCTTTATGTGGTCCGGACCACCACCACCACCACCACCACCCACGGACGATTGTTTTTGTTGTTGTTGTTGTTGCTGTTGGTGATGGTGCTGGAGTAGGGTGACAGCTGCCGCCGCGGCGGTCGCGGCCGCCGAGGGCTGTGGCTGGTGGTGCTGCTGGTAAGTGGTGGCACCGGCCTGTTGGTAGCCGGGTGGCATGCTCGGGGCTGCGCTGGCCATGCTCATGCGGTACATGTCTCGCATCTCGGGCATCATGGCCTGCATGGGCCCAAGGGCGTCGCTCCTGTACTGCTCGGTGCTGTGCATCTTTCGCGACACTTTTCTTTTTCTTTTTTTTTTTTTTTTTTTTTTTTTTTCTACAAAACAAATGTGTACCACTGACTATTTTTCAACGAAAAAACAAAACGACAACAAGGAGAAGAAAAAGGTGATTGATTGTTGCAATGCAAGTTGTCCCTGTCACTTTTATGATGTCACAGGACAATTGTGTACGGGGCAAGGGTCTATGCGGTGCGAGTCATCGCGCAGTCGCTGTTCACGAGTCGGAAGCGAAATGGCAACTGATGGCCCGTCGCTGGTACGGCTGGCAGCGGACGTTGGCTCTGGGGGAGCTAGCTGTCGCTACGTGTGCCGGTGGTGGGCGTGGCTTGTGGCTCATCGCCACGCGTTTTTCCCGTCCGTGTGCCCGCTCTCCCTGGTTTTCTCTCGCTCCGGGCCGCCGAGGACTATTGGTCCCTGGACGTGCCTGTGTACCCGAGCTCGGTGAGGGCAGGAGGAATCTTAGGTGGGGGTGATGCTGGTTGGCTTGCGGAGTCTGGGCGCGCGAGTTATAGGCCAAGCTCTCCCTCTCTCTTCCTCCGGGTGAGAAATGCGGCGTCGCGAGCGCGCGGAGGGTGCACGTAAGAATTTGATTTTTTTTAACGCGTGCGCCGCGGTTATTAACGAGTTTTCAGATATTGAAAGATTCCTTTTTTTTTTTTTTTTTTTTTTTTTTTTTTTTTTTTTTTTTTTTTTTTTTTTNTTTTTTTTTTTTTTTTTTTTTTTTTTTTTTTTTTTCAATTGCAGTGATAAATATGCATGGTTGAGACCTATGGGGTGATGGATGTTTATTGGCTATTTTAATGCAAGTTAATTCTAATTCGAACGAGTCAGCGGTTTACCAAGTGTAGTGATTTGTCGATTTACAGAATTACTTAATGAATCACTCGATCCGATTTTCATTCCATTTTGCAATCACTTGCTTTTTGAGTTGCAATTTATTCCATAAACTCTTAGCACCCCTTACATTTTTCCAATTTTAGGTTGAATTTATTATTTATTGGAAAAGTTACATCTTCGGTATACGTTATGCTGTTTGAAGCAAAAACTTTTAAAAGAACAGTACAATACCTCGTTAAAATGTTGATGGTAAAAAAAAAAAGAAAAGGTATTGATAAAAATGATCTTTGTCGACAAAATGTTTCCAAAGTTGTGAATCAGAAACAAAAAATAAAAAAAATTTTGTTTGTCCCTTGGTATGCCTTTTCAAATAAATCGATGAAACTGCATGTACTGTGTAAAAGTATCCCAAATGACGTCGAACAGAGAGTGAAAAATAACAAAAGTTGAAAGGAACAATGCACCGTATACAAGGACGTTTCACATGAAGAAAGATTATAAAAAAACAAAAATAAAACAACATCAACAACAACGGGACTCGCATAAAACGAAAAGTCGCGAATTAACCGAGCCGCAACAAAACAGGCATCTCGCGAACCCCATCGGGACGCCTCACACTCCGCCTAATGTCATCGAAAACAATGGAAACAACGGCATCGGGAGTAGCAGCTAAAATTCAAGGCGCACACACGTACCTCTGTACTTTTCACTTGGGAAATCTAACGAGACGAAATAAAAGAGACGAAAAGTATACGCGCTTGGCCACTTTCTCTCTCTCTCTCTCTCTCGCTGCTTCTCCTCCGATTTCAATTAACGAGGGGCGCGCGCTTGCGTCAATGCTAACGCGGTCCCCGAAGACTTTGCTTTTATACTTTTGGCTCGTCCTCGTCTGTACAAACACACGCGCTCTCTTATCATCGGTGTGTACCCTCTTCCTTAAAATAACACCAAACATCATGGGGACTCCTTTTCAAGAATGAATTTTCATTGCGTTTTTTGTTACTGTCATTGAACTTTTTCAGCTAAAAACCTCTAATGGGCAACCAGACAAATGGCTTTTTTTTTAAAAGACTTTATTCGGATATTCCAAAAGATTGATTTGGTTTTAAACTAGAGGCAATCTTATCATAATTTATAAAGAATAGTTGTTAAACAAAAAAATTCGTCTCTCGAGTTTTTGCGTGTTTGCACTAAATTATTTTTTTTACTGTTATCAATTTCTTTCCTTTTATGTTTAAATTTATTGTAGTTATAAAAAAAGGACTGAATATGAAAGAATCATCTTCGGAGTTTTTACTTATCCATACGGAAGTAATAACAATAATAATTATTATCAATGTACGATGAGTGGGTACGTTTTAAACTTATTTCGGCATGCAAATTATTCTTGAGAGCATCTTTGGTAAACGTGATACCACGACGTTCCGAAAACTAGTAGCTTTGAATGGAAAATTTCTAGAGAATAGAGAAAACAGGCTTAATAGCTTCAACAACTTTACGACGGAAAACGAAGTGGTACTATCTTGCAGTACAGTTAAAACGGACGGTTGAGTTATAGCAGTATTGATAATCTGGTGCAATGCGACTAAAAGGTAAAATTAGCCCCTGTTCGCCTATTTGTGTGTATTTATTAGCCCAGATGTTTTCGTTTTCTCTAAATCTTTTGCCTTTCTGAGAATCTCCTGCATCCAAAGTTATTATCTCGAGCTGAAATAAATAGCCCAGAAAAAGACACGCACGGCCCTTCAACCTGACAAGTCCCTTGAAATGTGAAACGAACTTTAATATTTTGCCCATACCTCTATTGCTAATGAATTATTTAATATTCATTTGTTTGGATAAGTTATGTACCGCCCACTTGCATGACGAACCTTATCACTTAAAAATTACTTTCGATGTACGCGCTGTGCTTAATATTTATTTAATAATAACCATGCAAACATATCAATAAAATATAAAATGTAGCCCATCAAGTGAGGTATTCAATGGAAGTGGTATGAAATTATTATTAAAAAGGAAATTAAACAACAATTGACGATAACCATTCAAATAAAATTAGATTGCTTTTTTCAAGTATTGTACGTATATTGAAAATTTGAAATAAATAATTAAATTCCTCAATTTTTTTGTTTATCAGCGGGAACATGGAGATATGCTGAGAAAATAATTTTGTTGATTGAAATAAACATTTTAAACATAAACAAAAATCAAATAAATAATTTCTTTATAACGTAATATTTCATAGATTTGACGAAATGTTAATTTTTTTCCGAATAAATATTTTTTTGTTTTTATTTGAACAAACATTTATTTGGATTGACGAAATTTTTTTTCTTTTATTGGTACTAAATTAAAAGGAAACAATTAATTACAATATATTTTCAAATCACTTATTGTTGGATGAATTAAAAAATTTCAAATCTTTTTGTTGTGAGTTTTCGTGAGAAATAATATTTGCAGATATGCAACTGTGGAAACTTTGAAAAATCAGTACGTAGGATCAATTACTTAAAGTTTGAAGGAAGGACAGAAAAAATTTAATTCTCATTTGTATAATCTTATGCAAATGAGTAAAAGTTTTAATATCATACCAGAGTTTGCAAGTAAGGAAAATTAGTAGATTAATTTTCTGAAATTATACAAAAAATCGGAGTGATAATAAAAAAAAGTTTATCGACGTCCAAAAAGGCAGACGCAAGGGTTGCCGTTCGAGAATCAATTTTCCACACATTCTAGTTTGCCGGCGGAGGCAGTTATGGAACGCTCAGACTCGAGTAGTGACCATTTGCATTCGGTGTTCTTCTGTAGATATATACTTTTATGATGTAAAGTTTGTCATGAAGATAATATCGACAATATAGTTAACATCTTAAGGAAATAGAGGGTGATTTATAATTTGAAGAGATTATTAGCATGTATCTTCTCCAATATTTAATACGTAAAGAATTTCGGATCTAATAAGTAAGCGAAAAAGTGTCAATTTGTTAAAAAAGTTTTTATTAAATGTATATATTGTAAAAAATACATAAGTTACAATAAGAAACCCTTAAAATCACTACCCCTTCTAAGGAATGACTTGGAATAGCATACGAATTAACTAACAGAAAAAATAAACAAAAAAAATGAAAGTTTTTTTTTTTACATAAAACTTTGTGTTAGCCTTGATTTGTTCCCGTAAAAATAATTTAATTTATCGAATTACATTTACAACTTTGGTCTATTGGCATCAAGTAGAGATTTCAACTTTTGAGTCAGCATAATGTTACCCTTGATCTTGAGTTTTCCCTTCATAAATGCCATTTGAGGATTCATTTTACCAAGAGCCTGCATCAATACACAAGAGTTTATGAGCAATATTTCGTAATTGTAATTAAAAATGTTGTAAATTATACAAAATAATCTTACCAATTGCACCATATCCTTATCTTCAATGGTAAGGGTAGTGTCTACCTTTCCCTCTGGCTTTCCTTTGTAAACAGTCCCCTTTTTCAAATCCAACGCTAAAACAAATGTAACTTATTGATTTTCCGTCACGCCTATTGACTACATTTGCAAATGCATCAGACGCAATGAAAATTGTTTTTTAAACATTCCATCGAACGATCGTAGAATTAGACAATTTATTTTGCAAGCAAAGTAACTTTGATCAATACATAAATTATCGATGTTACTGAGTAGGAAAATGAAAACTTACTCCAATCAGCCGAAGGCACGCCCTTATCCATAATGACGTAATGGAACACCCCATTGATTTTCTTCACTTGATCCGTGTGAGAGTTTACATAATCACCCATTTGAGCAAATACAGCGTCACACTCCAAGTTCTTGGACGCAGAACAATTGTTCCGTCGGACGGACGGTGTCTTCACTTCTTTCAAATCCATGTAGGCACCAGTTAGCACTTTGGCATTATTTTCCACGGCAGTGGTTTGGAAGTGGATTCTGTTACCCTCGCGCCACATGTCCGTACGCAGTGTCTGTCCTGGAATGACCGGCTTGGCAAATCTCACCTGGAAAAAAAAAAAAAAAAATGTCACTAAGCAAATACAGTTGGCTCTCGTTGATCTACAGATTAAAATACACTTTTGACATTCGATCTATCTATCAAACCTTATATCAAGTGCAAACCACCAACTGTTCATCAACTTACCTGTGAGCGAAGTAATTGATTTAAAAAAAAAAAAAAAAAAAAAATTGACAACAAACGGCTAGATAATAATATACGTGATGTATGAGGTTATAGACTAATAGGAACGACTCGAGTGAACATCACGCGTCGTGCAATACTAGACGGAGATTCGTCGACTCATTACCTTGGCCGATGGTTGCGCGCGCATACTCTTTATACGTCTATACCCATTTGTATGGAAAAAAAAAAACAAACTTGTTTATCATGCTTGGTAATTAGGTACCCTCAATACGAGATATACAAATTCGATTAAAATATAGAGGTCGTACGATAAATATTGCTTATCAGCTTGACAGTTCGATCATTCAATTCGATTATTTTTCCGTAATCGCTTAAAATATAATTTGAGTGTACTTTTTCACGGCACGAGATGATATTTACCTTTAGCGCTTTCATGGAATCGGGATCGCCATCCGCGAATGTTTGCAAAACGTGACGAGCCGAAAAACCGAGGGAACACAGGCCATGAAGAATCGGCTCGGAGTAACCAGCCATTGACGCGAGATTGTCGTCCATGTGAAGCGGATTGTAGTCCCCGGACAGTCTGTAAAGGGCAGCCTAAAAGGATAAAGTCGGTTATTTAACGATTGGGAGGTATAATAAACATTGATGAATTCCGGCTAACTTGATCAGAGCTTGTTTTTTGAGTGACGGAGGCACACGGTTTTCGTTTCGGAGGATCGATACATGGGACTGAGTGTTGCGAGTTGCGGGGACCCCCGAATCCTCCGGCGCCCACGATAAACAACGACATTTGATTCGTGGTTAATTTATCATTGGTTACTTCGTTGAACGTTTCGTCTGAGAGGAAAAATGCACATCAGTACCGATTTTCAATAAATAATAACAATTTCGGCTCGTACTAACATTGCACGAGAATCACAGCTCCTTTTCCTTTGTCCAATATCTCCCGGACCCTGAAGCGGCTCACGATCTTTCCCTCGGTCGGCAATTTTTTGTGAATTTCTATGTACTGCTCTCCGTGTAATATCTAACGGCAAAATTCCAATAAATATTCAATCGACAACGTGAAAGTTTAATACAAAAGAACACTTACGTTTGTTGGGTTCATTTGAACTCCAGGAATAACGTCCTGTAGTAGGTCCGAAGACATGCAGCCTATGGGGCCAAACGAGACGTAAAACGTCGGCATGAGCGAAAAGTTTTCATGATTTTCGTAAAGATACTGAATGTCTCGTGGCTCTTGTCTTGTGGCACCAACTACGTATTTTGTTCATTTTAGATAATCTTTATGCAAAAAAATTATCAAATACAAACATTAAGGGTTCTTTACCACCAAGGGCGTAGAGAATGGCGTCGCGATACGTGTAATTCGTTTCTAATGTCAGCTCCTAGAAATTATATCAAAGTCATTGCCTCCGTATGATTTAAGTGGGTAGAAAAATTTACCTTCTCACTCGAAGAAGATTCATTCGATCTTAATTGATCCAAAGAAGACATCAATTCCCCGGTAACTTCCTGTAAATCGATACGATTAAATATTATATGTAAAAAAAGTAAAAAATTAATTAATATAATTTAGAACAAAAAAAAAGTGCTGTTACCTCGATGGAGTCGTAAGTCTTAGCTTTAGACATGTCAGTTACAGTAGACCAATTTTCTCTCACTTTTTCAGGCGTGACTCCATCGTTCAAGCTTTTCCTTAGTAAGCATCCATTTGATCGAACAAGTCGACCTTTACACAATTATTTAAAATATTTAAATAGTATATTGTTTTTTTTAAATAATATTTAGTCTTATTAAACAGACAATTCTTGTAAGTGTGACATCACACCAAATATGTTAAGATCTACTTATGAATGAATTTTTTCTGCTTTCAAAATTATTAAAAAAAAATATATATTTACATTTGCCAGTCCAGCCGACAGCGGATTCAATAATTGATCCATTTTCCGTGCAATCTTCGTGAGAGAGCCAAAATACTACCGGAGCAATCAATTCCGGCTTGAGTTGCTCAAAAAAGTCTATAGAAATCAACATTAATTAGTCAAATGGATCGATTCACTCTGCCACAAAAAGTTTAATATTATAATGGTACTGAAAGTATACCGGGAGGAACGATGTCTTCCGTAAGTCTAGACCCCGCGGTTGGTACAATGACATTAGTGTGAATGTTGTTTTTTTTGCCTTCAATGGACAAGGTATTGGCAAGCCCGACGAGCCCCATTTTAGCAGCACTGTAATTCGCTTGGCCAAAATTACCATAAAGACCACTGTTGCTGCAGGTCAGGATAACTCGGCCGAAATTCTGTTTGCGAAAATACGGCCAAGCAGCTCTCGTTGTTCTCATGGAGCCTTTCAGGTGGACGTCGTGAATAATGTCTGAGGAAATCACCGATTTAAGAGAAAACTTTGATTGAAAGCTAATTGTAAAATAATGCTCTTTCATCGTTTACCCCAATCGGAATCTGTCATCTTGAGGAATGACTTGTCTCGCAATATGCCAGCATTGTTCACCACAACATCAATCCTGCCAAATTCATCAATGGCAGTTTTGACTATCTTTTCACCGTCCAAGACATTGTCATAATTTGCTACAGCTTTTCCTCCTGGAATTTAATACATTGTCTTGTTATTGTTTCAAAAAATTTACAAAAATGCACGATTCTGAGAAAACAATACAAACGAGAGTAAACCATACCATTTCTACGAATTTCTTGGACAACGCTATCTGCGACTTTTGTGCTACTTCCATCTCCATGTCTACCTCCACCCAAATCGTTAACAACTACACTAGCACCTCTGGACCCGAATAAAAGGGCATATGCTCTACCCAAACCTGTAAAAAATTAAATTATTAAATACACTTTAATAATATAAATAACGGGGAAAAAATGAATTTTTTTTATTAATCCCAGCTATATTTAACTTTAGATCCAAAATAATATTAAACCGTTAGCGTAAAATGCTGGATAAAAAATAATTGTAGCCACAATAATTACCTGCTCCAGCACCAGTAACAATAACAACTCGCCCGTCGAATCTCAGATCACCAGACACCATTTTTCTAAATTTATTATCTCATCAAACAAAACAACTATCGCGTACAAAAAAATTGCACAGACTTCCGATTTTCAGCTTAAAAGGCACGTCTCTCACTCGTTACTTTAATGTGGAATGAAATGGCAGAAAATAACTAATTTATGCACAACACATTTTATTGTATACACACACGACAGAGAACCGGTATCTTTTTTTTTTTTTTTAATCTCTTATGTATATCGGTATCGGTAAGCCCCGTCAAAGGATAAATAACCCCTACTCCCTTGAGGTGCTTTTCCTTTTGCGAATCGCTTTTTTCAACATCTACACAATTACACACGCACCTATAGAGATATAATTAACTTGTGCATGTCACGTTTAACGTCCCCTAGCGCATATACATGCTCCCCGATGTAAGCACAAAAACAGCGATTTGTCGACTGCTGGCAAAGCAGACGACGCGCCGATGACGATCAACAAACAGTACAACGGCTATAACGACGTGACGCCTCACATCAGGTAATATCGGCAAAAATGAAAAAAATCGTTTATCCTAAATACGCACACCTGTGTGTAAATACCGATCGCACGAAAATTCTAGAATTTCCGAAATTAAAATCCCATTAAACGATCGTTTGTGAAGTAATCGTCGTAGTGTATATATGACTGTTGTATTAATTTATAGATCGAAAAGGAGCAAGCGACACACCACGCGCAGGTGTGCGAGCGCCTGCGCGCTCCAGCGCTCGAAAATTCCAAAAGCATCATCGCGTCGCGTGCATAGTATAGCCAAAAGGAATCCGGTCTTCGCCTCGTAGACCCGAGCAAAGACAGACGGGAGGTAGGGGAGAAAAAAAAAAAAAAAAAAAAAAAATTAATCGGCCCCCTCGAGTAGTCATAGTCGTTATAGTGCGGCTCGCGTACATAGCCGCTGTCACGCGAAACTCGACGCCGCGTGGGCGATTTTGTACATATACGCTTTGCCACATCGGCCGGTCGCTACACCCAGCTGCTGCAGCTCCATCGCGACCATCGGCACAAAGAGAGAGAAGGAGAGGCGCAATATATATATAATCGTACGGTCGAAGGGAAGGAGCGGTGGAAAGGGACCACACCGAGTCGATTTACGCATTCCAAAGGCTCTCCAAAACGAGAACGCGACGCCAGTAGTATACCCGCGGCAGAGCCTCGGTGGCACACGCTGTACAAGCACCAAAGTATAACAAAATGTGCCGTAGGCGGGATATCGCGCGTAAAGTGTAGCACGTATACACAGTTGGGCATCGTGTGGGTGGATTGTGCGTTGGCGCCGGGATAATGTCCCAGGTGGCAGGTGACATCGGCTGGTACACTGGCCGTCAGCGTCCGTCCAAGATGGGCGAGCGACCGAGTAGGTATTGCTGTAGCCGCTCCTCGCGGTAACGTACCCCGTTGGCGTTGCACGGCCGATCGCGCCTCGCATTGGAATTGGCGCATTGAATACCTGGGAATAAGTGCGCGGGTGACGGAGACGGGAGGGGGAAAAAAAAAGAAGAAGAAAAAAGTCGCTCGAGTGTCCGGCGAAGGAGGATAGACGAGAGGAAGGACGGCGAGATGGACGGGGTGGCGACGGAGAAGACGTCCGAGGGGACGGACGCCGACTTGGTGGCGGATCTGAGGGTCGAGATCGAGAGGCTGTCCCGGGAGCTGGACCTCGCATCCACGGAAAAGATACAGTCGGCCAAGTACGGGCTGGCACTGCTCGAGGAGAAGTCCCAGCTTCAGGACAGGGTTAACGAACTCGAGAGCCTCTACGACCACACGAAGCACGAGCTGGACATCACGCAGGAGGTTGGTGCTTTGGGTTGGACAATAGGGGGGGGAATTTGTTTTTCACATGCCATCGTGGGGTTGTGTATTTGTCTTGGATGTTTGTTCGAGTTTGAATAGGGGTTGGGGCTTTTTTTTTTTTTTTTTTTTTTTCAATGGAAGGGAAAAGTTTTCTTTGCTTGATTGATGGTTTTCCAGTAGGATGTTTATTTTCTGGACAATGTTATTTCCGAGCACGTTTGTTTCCTACCCATTTGGAAGATGACAGTGCTGTTTATTTCTGGGATGTTTACGCGTATCCCTGATAATGTACAAATCTATTGACTGAGATTGAACGATTTTTTTTTTTTTTTCTATCTGTAAATATGGTAATAAAATATTAATATTAAAATTAGTGCTTATCACCCGTCACTAACAGAACTGATAAACTAAAATTTAAGTTACGCACCCGCAAGAAAACTTGCGTAAAATAATTTTTTTTAAACTTTATTTGAAAATATTGTACTCAATAATAGGAAAAAAATTGTTAATGCATAGAAAATAAAACATTTCACACAGAGGAATTTCAATTTTGGGTTCGTTAAATTTTTGAAAGTTAATTTGACTAGATACGCATTGGTACGTTACCGAATGTTCGATAAATTGCTTTGCCGTAACTTTAACCTTTTTATGCCGGCGTGTCAGTATGGAGCGGCTACAGTAGATACATGTTTTCAACACATAACTCGATACTCTCATTAATGTTTCCACGTAGACAATCGATTAAAAACAGTAATTAGGACTATGTTGTACCTATTCGTTAACGAATTCCACTGATGTACT